GCACGGGAGCAGGGGCACCAAGTGCGGCAGCGCTGAGCACAGGGCAGCGGTGACACCGAGCGCAGGGCAGCGGTGACACCAAGCGCATGGCAGAGGTGACACTGAGCACAGGGCAGCGCTGGCACCAAGCACACGGCTCTCGTGCGGGTGGCACTGGCCTTGGCCAGAGCCCTGTCCTGGCGCAGGAGGCTGCTCCTCACACTGACACAAAGTGCAGAAGCGTCTGGTTCCTGCGAGTCACCCAAGTGATACCTCAACTCCTGCAAACCCAGGGGTGAGGCCGAGGCTTCAAATGCAGCAGTTCCACTCGTGGGGGCTGAAGGGGAGAGGATCGGCCCAGTCCAGCATCCTCACCGGACAGAACAGCCCCAGAAATTCCCAAAGTTTCCAAGAAGAAACAAAACTAATCTGAAATGGAAACCGCAAATTCTGCTCCAGCATGGAGCGTGCTCTGGCAAGCTCCTGCACTAATAACCCTCCTTTCCTACTCTATTTTAGAGCAAGGACACCAAATCTGGTGCATGGGGGCCAAGTCCCACCTGGGGAGGGAACACTGGATGAAGCAGCTCAGCAGAGCCAGGATCGGACATGGGGAAACTCCTGTGTGCAGGGACAGGGACACGGGAAGGGGCTGCTCTGGTGCTGGTGGGGACCCAGGCTCAGCTCCGTGTTGCTGCTGCCTTGGAACCCCTCATTTCCACCCATCCCAGGTAATGCCAGGGGTATCCAACTGCTTCCTTCCCTGCCGCTCCAAACATCCCGTTTTCCAGCTTGCCCAGGAAAACCCACGGGGCCCCCAGCTGCAGTTGGGATCCCTTTCCCGGGGTTATCGCCCCGTCCCACGCGTGAGCTCCGCGCAGAGCAGCCCTCGGGGGAGCTGCGCTACCGCCCGGGGGAATCACTTCTGTCCCGAACCACAGGCTATTCCTGGCACCCGCTCGGCTCAGAGGAGCTATAAAAAGCCAAGAGCAGCGGGGACGGAAGATGCAGGACTCTGTGTCATCGTTGCCACAGGCAGAGAAAGCCCAAGGAGGGTCAACCCCCGACGGACTTCCCTAAGCAGCAGCACGTGAAACTTTTTAAAAATAACCCCGTGCTGTCAGCATGAGCGGGGCCGGGCGCCGCTCTCCTGCTCTTATGCAATGGCACATGTGTGGGGGACAGGCTCACGGACACTGCGGCACCCGCGGGTGGTTTGGGGCTGAAAGTGGCATTTTGAGGAGCAGGCAGGGGCCAAACCAGGGTAGGGATGAGCAGGAGGCAGAAGCTGGTCTGGATCTCACCCCCCACCACCCAAATGAGACTAGGAAAGGACTCTGGTGATGGAGACTTGTGTAATAAAATAAGATTCTTTGCTTTTTTTTTTTTTTTCTCTCCTCTTTACAGATGATACAAAATCAGGTAGTTCAGACATACACCTCAAGCCAGCTGTACCAGTGGCTCTGGGAGCATCCTACATCCCAACCGTCTCAGGCGACTCCTCTGTGAACCTGAACACAAGCAAATCCTCTGTGGAAATGCCATTAAATAAAAATAAAACCCCAATTTTTAAAAAAAAAAACACACAAAAATTAAGCAGCACAGCAGTCTAAAAAGGGGGAAATGGGCTCCTATCCCAGGAAAATGACCGTGGGCATCTGTTCCTCTGCCGATAAAACACGGACCCCTCTCGAGCACTGTAGACCGGGCAGCGGGTGCGAGTGCCCACGGGGGGCCCTGCGGCTCCGGCCCTGCTCTGCCGGGCGCTTCAAGTTGGTTTTTGGACAGCTCAATAAATTAGTGAAGCCGCAGTGGGGACGAGACCAGCACCAGTAGCCACCGAGAGCCGTGGTGAGCTCAGTCCGTGTGGCCGTGCGCCAGGAAGCGCTCGCGGACCTGCTCCTCGAGCGCGTGCAGCTTGGTGGCCCGCAGGGCGCCCAGCAGCTCCCGCGTCACTTCGTGGTGCCCCTCCTTGCGCTGCATGAGGTAAGTCCTGAACTTCTCCTGGATGGCGGCGCGGCTGCCCGGCCCCGGCCTGCGCGGCGAGTGCG